CTTGCATTGGCACAAAACAGCAGCGTGAGACGGTCTTTCATTGGCTTCTGGCTGAGCAGTGCATTATCCTCTGCTGTTATATAGGTTTGCTTCGGCATCTTTTTCCAGGAGAGACCCATCTCATCACAATTAAAAACCTGTTGCGGCAAGTAACCCTCAGAATCTACGAGCTTCTTGAAGTCACCGATGAAATTCTCTGCTGCCTTTGTGTCAGAGCTTGCTGCTTCACTGTGCCTTAAAACGCTGTGGATGCCAGTTCTTCTCTTAAACTTCTCGAACCACCCACGGCTTCCCTTAAATGCTTCTTCTTCGGCCGTTGATGATCCTGGCGTCTTCCTAATGAGGTTGGTGAAAATCACTTTCGCCTTCTCACAAATGATGTTCTCCTTAATAGTGTCGCCTTGCAATTGCTTTTCTTTTATCCATATGAGGAGCAACCTTTCAACATTGTTGAGAATACGTAACCGTTGCGTAGATATTCTTGTCACTACCTTTGAAGCATCTATCTCCTTAATCATGTCCTTGTTCTTGAGGATAGTGCAAATCATTGATGTAGACCGATTGTATGTGCGTGCTAGATCAGCCACGCTCACACCTCGTTCTCGCTTTTCAATGATTTTAAGTTACATTTCTACGGTTATTTTTATTCTGTTATGGATGTCTTTTTGCGGCTTTTCCTTCAGGGACATTTTTGCAAGGGTTATTAAACTTTGCACAAAAAAATTACAAATAATACGTCTGAACACAATTTTGGAAAAATGTGTGATCACAAGCGACACTAAGATGCTAGCGGAACGAGTGCTAAACACAGACTGATGTAGCAAGCGCACAATCCTGGACTTAAACTCGTGTCACTTGTTATGTGAAACGTCACTCATTAAGCGAGTATTTTTTTTTACAATTTGTTTTGCTCGCGAATTACTTGTTATATGACAGGTGCTCGTTAAGCAAGGTTCCACTGTATTTGTTGATACACATGATTTACTCATTTTTCCATGTCCTTGCTGTCAAATTATCTCTTACCCTACAAGGTATTTCACTCCACTTTGATTTAGTCTATAATTTTCAGAGATTAACGATTACTTGGAAGAACACAGAAGCTACAGCAACACAACATTATTCACAAAAATGTTCCCTTCTGTGTTGAATGAGTTTGGAATTTGTGTAGTAACCAAGTGACGCATGTAAAATGCAGGCAAATTCTTAAATATAAACTAATACATCACACAGCTGACACAAAGCATTTAAAAAAATGGAACTTAAATGATGGCTTCATTGCACTTACATGTAACTTCTCAAAAGTATACACATTTTTTTACCTATTTCTTGAGGGCATGTCTGGTGTCCCTAACAGATTCTACAAGTTCTGCCCACATCATCTTTATTTAATCACCATAACAATATTGGGCAACGCATAACAATTCTAATACTCCTTACATCATTTCTTTAGGCCCCTAAACACTCTGTTCTTCAAGATTCTCAACCTGTCTTCTGCCCTCAGACTGGGAGACAAGTTTTATTCCTGAAGGAAGGAGATGCTTCACATCTAGCTGTAAATAACTGTTTAATTCCTCAATGTTCAAGCACATGTGAAATGAGAAGCTTCTAGTCTAGCATGAACAGCATTAAAGGTTCACTTATCACTGGTACATGTCAATGTATGTGCATCTCCATACCTTTGTCAGTTGGTTAATTTCCATGTCGAGCAGTCCCACTTTACTGCGTGGCTGTGAATTGTTCATTACACTTCTCGTCTCACAGCCAGTATACACGACCACACCCAAAGCTGAACCCGACGCAACAACACAGTTTGCCCAAAGTGTGTTCTCAACATCCAGACTGTCTTCACTTTCACATCCATCATGCTGCAATGAATATGAGCATTTAAAATTTAATATAGTATTCATGAAAGAACAAGGAATGAATGTCATTAGACAAGATGGTAAAATCTGAAGTCTTCTGAATGACACTTCTTCAGCTTGTGGAATACAGTTGTTCCATGGTTTGAAAGATATTAGTGGGTGATGAGCAAGGCTATTTAAAGAATTGGAGCAGGTGAACTGGCCATTTTCATTCAACGTGCGGAGTTACATCTAATTTTTTAATGTCATCATGGAAATCTGTAAGGGTAAAAAATAAATGGTAGACTAACAATGGGACAAACTCCTATTCATACACAAACTTTACCCAATTCACTGTAAACAAGGAATTTTCAAAAAGTTTCCATACTTTTTATTTTACATCTCTATTTTCTTGATGATTACAAAAACAAAATACATAATTTTCCTACATGATCACCATACTTTTCAACACATTTCCCTCAACATCCTACCAACTTCTTCATGCCATCATAGTAGGAAGTCCCTGTCTGTACATGTAGCCAATGATGCACCACGTTCTTTATGTTCTCGTCACATTGACATCTTCTCCCTCCTACAGCTCCTTTAAGCAGTCCGAAAAAGTGAAAATCAGACAGTGCCAAATGTGGAATGTTAGCAGCATGTTCCATGACTTTCAATTTCAATTTCCTGAGGGTTTCCAAAGTGTGGGTTGCAGTATGGGGACAGGCACTGCTATCCAACAACAGGACTCCATCTGACAGTCTCTCTCTTCTTTTTTCAGAGTGGATTACAGGCTCCAGCCCTCTCTGAAGCATGTCACAATAGGTTGCACTTGTGACAGTTGTTCCATGTTCCAGGTAGGTCTCAATAGGCTCTTGAGAATCCCAGAAGATGGTCAACATCAACTTGCCTGCATCTTGAATTTCTATGACATAGATGATGGATGCTTCCATGGCATGTTCTTCTGCTTGGTTTCTATTTGATATTGGTGAACTCAGGTTTCATCATCTGTGACAATCTGTTGCAGAAAGCTGTCACCTTCTTCACGATAATGAACCAAGTGGTGGGAACAAATGTCTAAGAACATGCTTATGCTCATCTGTCAGTTCTGTAGGTACCCCCCACCTGGCACACTTTATGGAACTGAAGGTTATCATGCATCACAGAATAGGCAGATCCAATGCTGATATTCAGTTGTTTCACAATTCTGTTTGAATGAATCATTTCCCTAGCTCTTTCTTCATTCTGTGCAGTTGTGGCTGTGGTTGGACGAGACCAAGTGCTCTGCATTAGTCACATTCTTATGGCCTTTTTTAAACATTTCAATCCACACACATAGCTCTACGAGAGAGAGCACTGTCCCCATACTGGGCACACATGCAATGATGAATCTGCCTACCTGGTACACTTTCTGCTGACAAAAAACCAAATCACAGGTCACTGCAGCAGGTCCGGAGTTCAACAAAGAGAATGTTCATCTTTTTTTTTTTTTGACATGAAGGGGATTGTTCACTGTGAATTTGTTCCTCCTAACACTACTAACAACTCTTACTTTTACTGTGACATTTT